CGCCCCCCCCCGCCCAGGGGGGCAGCCCCCTCTCTGTGCCCCGGTACGGAGCAATGTGTGGGGTCCGGGGTTGGGGACCACCAGGAACCCCCCCACCCGTGTCCTGGCTTTGTGTCCCCTTGGGGGGGGCTTGGCTTACATGTGGGGGAATGTGTTTTTGGGGGGTGAACCCCTTCTCAGGGACCCCCCCTCTATCAGGGGGCACGGGGAGCAGATGGTGACACCCCACGGACATGGCCCTGGGGGGACGCGTCCCCTTGAGGGGGACACGGGGCAGCCCTGGGGACCCAGGGGACAGACCCTGGGCTCAGAGGAGCTGAGGCCGTTCGCGCTCAGCTCACCTGTGCGGGGACGCTGGAGGGACGCACCAGGGACGGGAGAAAGGATGGACACGGGAAGGACGGACACCCCATGGAAGGACGGACACGCAGGGCGTCGAGGCCCTATGCCTCCCCGGTCCCCGTGGTTGTGGGTGTTGGGGGAGGACACCCAGGGTGCTGGGGTGGGGGGAGAGCCCCGGAGCCACCCCATCAACGTGGCAGACGGGAGGCCCCTTCCCCTGGCGTCAGCAGCACCCCGTCCCCGCGGGGCCCCGCTCCCGGCGGCAGGCGTCAACCTGCCCGGCTGCTCCCTCCCACTGCCCCCGGGGAGCCCTGACCCCGCTGGGGTGCGTGGAGCCCGGAGGAACCCCACAGCCTCCACCCCGGCTACCAGTCAGGGCAAACTGGGGACAAAAAACCCCCTCCGGGGCTGGGGGATGCTGTCATCACCTTTGGGGACAGCCAGCTGGAGGACCCGATGGTGCCGGCAGGGAGGATTTGGAGGGTCCGTGAGCCCCGGTTGCACCACGGTGATGGGTTTGGGGACAACGGGGTGACACGGCAGGGAAGGGAGCCGGGTGGCTCGTGCCGAGCCAAGTGCCGGCCACGAGGTCTCAGCTGCCGCCTCGCGTGGGGTTTGCCTGGGAGGAGCAGCCCCGAGGGAGCGGGGTGACAGGCAGCTGGGGATGCTGGCAGGGAGGGTCCCCCATCCCCACCCTCCCATTAGACCATCTTCAAAACATGTTTCCATCTGGCCATCGTGCCGAGTCTGAGTCACTCCGAGCAGGGGCCAGGAGCTCCGATATAAATAGCCGAGCTCCTGGCTAACCCCAGGACACACTGGGACCGTGTCCTGCCCCAGACTCCCAATACAACGACCCTTCCTCCGACCCATCTCCGACCCTCTGTAGCTGATGGCTTTCCCCATCCCAACCTCCCTAAACCTTCGCTCACAACACCGTAAGGATCATTTCCAGCACAGCTGGACCCACAGACCGGCTGTTTGGTGCTGGGCGCAGGCTCTGGGGTCCCCACGTCCGTCCATCCCAGCACGGAGCTGAGCAAAGCACCAGCATCCCTGGGACTGTCCTTGGGGACGACATGGGCTCAAAATCCTACGTGAGCCCTAAATTTGGGCGCGGGGAGAAGCTGTCCTGCCACTTCTGCCTGGGGCCACCAAACTCCAGGGGCCAACATGGAAAATCCCCCAACCCCACCCAGGCAAAAGCGGGGGCGAAGCAGCAAATAAAAAGAGGCAAAAGGAGAAATCCAGATGTTCTCCAGCCCTGCCCGGGCTGGCTGAGGCATCCCCAGGGAGCCCGGCTTGGCCAGCACCGAGGGCGAAGCGTGGCCGCTGCGAGTATCAAAGCAAACCTCCGCTGATCTGCTTTTATCCCGGCTCCCCACTTTCCCTGCCGGGGTGACTCAGCCCTCACTGGCTCCGGGGACAGGTGCTGGCTTGCTGGGATGAGCTACTGGTGGCTCCGCTCCCTCCAGTGCTTCTCGCCCTGGCGCTGAGGGTGGGAGGGAGATGTTGGGGCTGGGGGCTGCGTGTTTCCCCCCCCCACTGCAGAGGCTGCCCATGGTGGCAGGGAGGCTCCCAGGGCTGGATCTGGTGGGTTCAAATATTTAGGGGACCTGGACCCCCTTCCCAGCCCCCTGTGCACTCCCACCACTCTGCTACGTGGTGGACATAATAAATACCCATAATTAAATCTAAATCTAAGTACCCCAAAATGTCCACCACGTAGCAGAGGAGCCAGGGTCCCTGTGCCAGGTGCCGGTGGAAGGACAGTGTCCCCATGGGTGTTTTGGGGCAATATTTGACTTCTGGCAGGAGGAGGATCCTCAGGGTCAAATGAGGATGTCGCAGCTCTGTTCCACTGGTGATGTTAAGGAGGAATCCCACCCCACCACGCCTGGGGGGTGGAGAGCGAGTGGATGCCCCCACCTGGGGATCTCCAAGAGGGTCCCATGGCATGGGGCAGCCCAGGCCAAGCAACGAGGCGATGGTGACGCCAGATGAAAGGCAGCCCATCTCCTCCTCCTCTTCCTCCTCCTCCTCTTCCTCCTCCCCCCCAACTCCATACCAGCCTCGCGCAGGTGGAGTTTTGGGTCGGGGGTCTGCAGGTGCGGATCTCAGCATCCCCAATCCTGTGCCAAGGGGACGCCCCATTTCCGAGCCCACCGGGGTGGGTGCGGGGACAGCACTACCTTCTCCACGTTCCCTTGGGAGATGGGGTAAGAAACTGGCACCAAACCTTCAGGCTGTAAAAAAAAACAAACTCCCAGCTCCCAGCCACCGCTCACCCGGGGGGGGGCTGGTTCCCAGTGACTTCGGCAGCTCGAGGGCAGGAGCCGATGCCACCCAGGCACCTGCCCGGGGGACAAGCACGGGGCGCACGCCCGGGGGCCAGGTCCCAGCCCTCGTGTTTGTGTCGGCGCGGGCTGGCAGGGACAGAACATGCTGTTTTAGCAGGGTTTGGGGTTTGAGGGGTAACCCGCTGCCAAAATAAATACATCAAGTTGACTCGTATTAAATTAAAAAAATAAATCAAGGCCATGCTCGGAGCCAATTCAAAGTCTCGGTCTCGGGGCTGGAAGGTGCTGACACATGCCGAGACCCACGCGGTGGCAGGGAACGCGCCGGGCGCTGCCAGCCGGGACATGCGGGAGACGTGCCACTGCCGTCCACCTGCCCGGCGATGCTCTCGCCGTGGCGGCGGGCGCTCGGGATGCAAAGCCGAGGCGATGGAGGCTCCGGGTTTTTACCTGCCGGCTTGCCGGCACCGGCTGCCGAGGCTGATGAAAGCAGGAGGGATTAAAGGGGTGCAGGGAAGGGTGGGGGGGGGGCCAAGAAAGCATGTGCCAGGTAACAAACCTACAAGATCCTCCAAGATAAAGGGAGATCCCAACAGCTGTAATTACGCGCTGGAGATAGAGCGGCGCGGGGAAAGCCTGAAGCCAAGTACAGGAATTCTGGGTTAATGGCAGCCCAAGGAGAAGTTAATAACAAGCCGAACAAAGTGGGAGCAGACAGCCTGGCGTCTGCCCTCCCACACGCCACCGCTGCCACACTAACGAACAGCCGCGCTATCTCCAGCCCCGTCAATAATCCCGGGGGAGCGCGGAGAGACGGGGTGCTGGCGTGAGCCGGGCTCCTCTGCACAGCGAGCTGCGGCGCTGGCTTCTCCCCGGGCTTTTTTGGCTTGTTGGTTGGAGCAAAAGCCATCCCGGGGGGGACTGCGGAGGACGAAGGGCCGTTTAGGAGCATAGAATCATAGAATAGTTTGGGTT